GTGGAGGAAATGGACAAACAACAAGGTGCAAGGAAGGAAAAGAGTGAAGGGGAAGGAAGAGCGTGAGGAGGATGTGGAGGAATAAGAGTGTTCGGTGAGATGTGTGTGAAATATGTGTCTCCCTCTCTCCCTCTGCCACTCTCTTTCTTGCGCGTGTGCACCCTTCTTGAGATCTTGGAAGGAAAAGCACCATTTACGTTCACAGGAAAAAGAAGAAAAATGAAATGCACTTCGTAGCCGGGGCGGCAAGGAAGAAGGAAGGCTGGCCCGTTGGATGAAGGAGCGAGGCAGGAGGTCGGGTGGGGGGAGGAATGGAGGGAGGAGGTCACGTGGAGATCGGGCCGAGGAAGAAGGGGAGGGAGGAGATCGGTGGAAGGATGTCAGTAAAGATCGGGCGGAGGAAGGAAGGGGGGGAGGAGATCGGGGGAAGGAGGTGGTCAGTCGGAGATTGGGCGAAAGAAGGAAGGAGATAGAGGTGGCCAGGCGGAGGGAGGTGGGAGGGAGGTTGAAGAGGATGTCGGGAGGAGGCCGGGATGAAGGGGAAAGGCTGCATCGAGAAGTAGGGCGGAGGGTTACTGGGGTTGGATGGTTAACGGAGGGGGGGAAGAGGTCACCCGAAGGTGGAGAGAGAGAGAGAGAGAGAGAGAGAGAGAGAGAGAGAGAGAGAGAGAGAGAGAGAGAGAGAGAGAGAGAGAGAGAGGACGAAGGGGGGACGGGGCACGAAGAGCATCAGGAGGAAAAGCGTGAGGTGGAGGACGAGAAAAAGGTGGAAGGAGGCCGGGAGGAAGGGTAACGACGGAAGGGAGAAGTCGGGCGGAGGGAGGGTGGAGGGAAGGCGGGAGCGCAGCGGCTGGGTGGAGTACGGAGGGAGGGAANGAGAGAGAGAGAGAGAGAGAGAGAGAGAGAGAGAGAGAGAGAGAGAGAGAGAGAGAGAGAGAGAGAGAGAGAGAGAGAGGGGCACTAGGGGCACCATTACCTCCATCCTCCTTCGGCCAATCCTCCGTTTCTCCATTCTTCGGCCCTTCTCCCTCGGCCCCCCTCCTTCCTCCCTTGCGCTCGGTCCTTGCCTTCCTCCCTTGCGCTCGGTCCTTTCCTTCCTCTCTCCCTCTTCCCGCCCTCCCTCCCTCCTTCCCTCCCTCCCTCCCTCCCTCCCTCCCTCCCTCCCCTCTATCCCTCGGCTCGCGCCCCTCCCTCCCTCCGGCCTTCCCTCCTTTCCAGGCTCCTTCCTCCCTTCTTTGTGCCCGACCTAGAGAGTGCATTTCGTTCTTTGTTCTCTTTCAATTTACGTAAACACCACATTTCGTTTTCCGATCTGAATAAGGGCGAGCGCGCCCGCGCTCACGAGATAGCGAGAGAGAGAGAGAGAGAGAGAGAGAGAGAGAGAGAGAGAGAGAGAGAGAGAGAGAGAGAGAGATTGCCACGGCTTTGCCACACTGGCGTGAAGTGATTCTGACATGTGCTGCTCGGTTTCTTCTTTGGTTCTTGCCTTCCAGGAAATGCTCCAAGATGCACACCCAGCATTACAGCTCACATGACAAAGCGAATTCCGACAACTCCCCCCGGCAAACAGCAACTGCCAAGCAGATTCGATGCTGATTACTGCATTCACACATTGCAAGACCTGCTTTACAACAGCGGCACTCTTATAATTGAAGGGGACTTCCACCAACTCCCCTCGGCCAGTTCTCCATCACACCATCTCGTCCCACGTCCTGCCAATTCTCAATCACCCCATCTCGGCCCACCAAACTGAGTCTCGCACACACACGTACATGCGATTGCACACTCGCACCCTCACAGAGTCGAAACTCAGCAAGTAAGCATATGGTATCCATACAAGATATAGGTTGATCAGTAACATTTCAGAAATCGCAGCAAACAGACTGAGAATCGGAATCTTGAGCAAACAGATTAAGGGATATTTTTTTTGGTCTTAAAAATTGATATTCTCGGACTGCATCTGTTTGGGTCATTCCGCAGAGTGCAAAAATCTGATCAGTTTAATATCTGATCCGTGGTCCATCGGACCGCTACGATATTAAATTAATCTTTCTGGGCTTCGGAGGGGTCATATGGGTAAGCTTGCTTGCTCGACCCGTCAACGATATTAAATTAATTTTTCTGGGCTTCGGAGGGGTCATATGGGTAAGCTTGCTTGCTCGACCCGTCAACGATATTAAATTAATTTTTCTGGGCTTCGGAGCTTGCTCGACCCGTCCAGCGTTGCCTCTGTACTGCACTGCGGCAGAGTGCCGCGCGAAAAAGGAAAAAAAAGGAAAAAAAAGGAAAAAAAAGAAAAAAAAGAAAAAAAAGAAAAAAAAGAAAAAAAAAGAAATGATGCTGAGAAGCTTACGACTGCTCAAAGAAAACGTACGTTTGGTATTCCCTCCTATTTCCTTGCAAGCGAAGCTGCAACAGGACATCTAGCAATCAGATTAACGGAACAAAATCCTTCTCAATTACCGGTCCGGTAATGCACCAGGACTTTTGCGGCATGGCCTACCTGAGCTAAACGCCAGCCGAAAAAGAAAACAAGCCAGTTCTTTTTGCTTGGGCGCAAAGTGGGGTGGGGGGTTTTGAGTGTCTTTATGGTGTGAAGGTGTTTAGGCTGCCTTTCTTGCAGCTTAGGAGGGGGTTAATTCTCCATTTCCGACACCTAAAGCCCCAAACACCTTTCTTTCCACTTAAACCACCAGTACTTGCTAAAGTCGTGCCCGTATACAAGCCATGATTTTAGGCAACGTACGGGCCACTACACGAGCGCCCAAATTCATCCGACTAGAAACGTTTCTACTCTAATTTTTGGGGCAGTGATAGCTGGGCCGCTAGGTACTGGTGGTTTAAGGTTCAATGTATTTCGTTGATCTATGTTTGTTCTTCAAACAGTTGACCACTGCTATTTGTTTTAAACCTACCTAAATATCCCCTCATATTTTGGTTTCAATATTCACATGGTCAGAGGTGTCATGCACACCATGCACACTAATCTAAACTCCGTCGCTGGCCCTACGCGGGCGGAGCCGCGCTGGCCCTTCTTGTCTTGATCCAATCCAATCTAACAATCTAATCCAACCCGAATCCAGCGGAAGCCTGCCAAGTCAACCCAAATCCGATCCATGCAATCCGTATCCTGTCCCGTCCAGTCCAGTGCCAAATTTCCGTGCAGCCCAAATCCAGTGCCATATATTCCAAACACAATCCAATTCAAATACAATCCGTTCCGATTGCATCCAACATGTATCCAATTCTTTCCAATCAAGATCCAATCGTATCTCATGTGTCCAATCCGAGCCCAACCCCATCAAGGTCAAATTCAATCTTGTCCAATCACAGTGCAATCCACATCCCATCCAATTCGCATCCAATCCAAATCCAACCCAAATCTTATTCCGCGCGCGCGCGCGCGCGAGAGAGAGAGAGAGAGAGTGTTGACATTGAGACTTGTTGACTTTTTGGGGGGCGACATTGCGACTTGACATTGTATGAGCAGCGACATTGGGGATACATTGGAGACTGGCTTTATCGGGCTATGATGGCTGATCCTCCCTATCTCCTTCTTGCTTCGTCTCCCTTCCATGGTTGTCAGGTCCAGTCGTTGTCCATGCTGAGTCAGATCTTGGTATTTCAGTCTTCCACTGCGCTATTTTTGCATTGTCTCTGAGAAGCCGGTTCTTGGTTCTAATCAATTCCGATTAGGCATGCGACACCCCCCACCCACCCATCCCTCTTCTCCCCTTCTCCCCTCCCTCCTTTGCCTCTTTTCCCCCACCCCGCTACTACCCCGCTGCTCCTTTACCCCTCTACCCGTCTACCTCCACCCCCCTCTTCTCCCCTTCTCCTCTCCCCTCCTTTGCCTCTTTCCACCTACTCCTTTACCCGTCTACCCGTCTAACCGTCTACTCGTCTACCCTTCTACCCGTCTACCCGTCTACCCATCTACACCTCTACACCTCTACACCTCACCTCCTCTACCCCTCCACCCCGCTACCCCTCCTCCCCCCACCCCTCTTCTCCCCTTACCCTCCCCTCCTCCGCCGCTTTACCCCTACCCCGCTGCCCCGCTGCCACGCTGCCCCTCTACCCCTCTACCCCTCTACCCTTCACCCCTCGTACCTCTCTACCCCTCACCCCTCTACTCGTCTACCCATCTACCCGTCTACCCCTCTACCCCTCTACCCCGCAACCCTCTTCTCCGGTTCCCCCTTTCCTGCCCATAGCGTCCTTCAAAACATCACCAGCTCAGATAAGAGGGGAAGTTACTCGCCCTTGGCCAAGCACAACGCTAAGGTGCTCTTGGCAACTCAGCAAGCAAGTAGTGGAGCATGGCATAGATGCATGTAGTGGGGTATGTGCTTTGGCCTTGTGGCTCAGTTGTATACACATATAGCTGTTGAGAAAACAGATTATGAGTTAAAGTCCTGATGGATACAATAATGTTTAGGGCGCTAGTCCCCCTATTAAAGCCCCAGTACACTGCCCCAGTCAACGTCAAAAACGAATGGCTCACTCCTAATATTCTGGAGGCATGGGGCTACCGAACCACAATGGCTGGCGGTGCCAGCCAATGAGAAAAGAAGTGCGCCGCCGGTGGTTCGGGAAAGCTTGCCACGAATTGGTGCTAATTGTGAGTCCGCGAGGCTCGGGTGTACTGGTGGTTTGATGAAAAAAAGAAGGATGCATGTTGGGGTCCTGACAGCGGCATAATAGATAGCAGCAGTATTGGGTGAAATTATACTAAGATAGGGTAAAATACCAAATGCTAATTCTGTGTGCAGTTATTGCAGGTTAGTTGGAGTGCTGTACTGATATTTATTTATTCATCTGAAGTCATTTCTTTTTTGTTCTTACTGATGCATTTCTGTTCTGTGTTTGTTTCTCCTCCTGTTGTTCGTTCTGTATATCGAGCTTGGAGCAAGGGCCCTGCCTAAAGGGTGACCATCGGTTTTGTGTGTAATCCGGCCTGTCTGCATGCTGTGATTAGGGTCTCAGTGAATGTCTGTGTAGAGGAGGAGGAGGAAGAGTGAAGGAGGAAGAGGAGAGGAGGAGTAGGGTGGATCCTAGCAGTAGCAGGAATACCTACCGATTCCTGAATAGGAAAGTTGAGGATCATCGAGCTTGACGTGATGATAACGTGTAGGATGAGGTTGGTGAGGTGGGCGATAATGATGGTGGCAAGTAGGCCCTGCCGCAATTGCATCCTTCCCCTCCCCCTCTGTCGCCTACCTGGTGCTGTCGAGGGGTCGATTTCAACACTGTGTGGGGGGTCTCTGATTTCCCGGCGACGGTTTAACAATGGCTCTCATAGGGGGCATGATGGGTTTTACCCTTCGAACTGGACTGAGCGGAAGGAACAAGCGACCTCTGCTCGGTGCTTTGCTGCCATGGCAGAGCAATTCACAGCGCCAGCTGCAGGTCAATCAATGACGAGGGCTAACCAGTCGACAGTACCACCTGCAGGCCAAGCGACGGTGGTAAACGGGCTTACTTCTGCAGCGTCTTCTGCAGCAGAAGATGCTTTGGTGTCTGAGCCTCGTCATGACTGGACAAGAGAAGAGATCCGGGCCATCTATGAATCTCCTCTTATGGACCTCATTTTCAATGCAGTAAGTCAAATTCCAACCAAGGGTTAGAACTTAGAATCACTCTGGCCTTCTTTTTTCCCCTTCCCCCCCCCCTTAACTGAGCTTTGTGCTTCTCTCAAATATACCTCACACTACCTAACCCCATGCCTACATCTATCTAAGTCCAGTCGAACCTAAAGCACAGCAATCCAAATTGATGTGCCGAAGCTGGAGTAGACTAAGGGTTAAGCCTATCCCCTCAGGGTTGAACCTAACCCCTGGCAATGAATGGAAGGGACTATGTCCCCCTACCAACCAACCAGGCCGGGCAAGCGGACTATCTCAGCTGGCGAACCCGCAGCACGCCGCAGGGGGGCCTGGGGATTCGAATGGAAGGAGTGGGGAACCCAGGACCTCCTGAATGCAGCTTTTGTGCTCTACCAACTGAGCTAAGCCGCTGGCCCTCACTCTGGACTTTTTGAGGCAAGGCAATGCAGTAAGTCAAATTCCAACCAAGAGTTAGAAATTACAATCACTCTGGGGCTTTTGAATTCTGTATTCTCGCACTTTATTGTCAGGCTGGGTCCAACACTCCCTTCGACTCTGTGCGAAGTCCTCTTTAAAAAAAAAAACAAAAAAAAAACAAACAGAATCTTTAAAAAAGGCTTTCTTGTTGGGCTGGGTCCAATACTCCCTTCGACTCTGTTCGAAGTCCTCTGAGAATAACAGTAGCACAACAAAAATGTCAACAAAAATATCAGCAAAAATATCAGCAAAAATATCAACAAAAATATCAACAAAAAATATCAAACAGAAGTATCAGTGGTTGTTGGTATGCATCCATATAGTTGATGGGGACGCATTGTTGGAGTGAATAAATACTCTGACAAGGGTATTTGCTCGCACTTGGTGCACATAGGCAGAGGCCTCGAAACATGCAAGCAGGTGAGGGGGCGATGCATGCAACAGCTTGCATTTGATTGGGAATCAGTAGTTGCTGATCGTATACAAACACTCTTGCGGATTGCTGTCATACATGTGATTAGAATTTGGAACACACAATATATATATATATATATATATATATAGTCTACTTTG